GCTACTGTTGTCTAGAGTCGTTTCCTGGTTTGTTCTCACTTCTTACAGCATCTACAATACCATCGTCTTTGGAACGAATCTTTAATTACCCACTGAAAAGGAAGTATAATGCAGTTGATGAAAATAATTTTTTTTGAGACTTGATAATGTTGGTAACAAAATAATATAATGTGTAGTAGTTGATCAGGACAGGGGTCTCCTATCATTTTGGTCAGCGGACCACATTCAGAACTCCACTAAGTCCCGTGGGCCGCATTAAGACCTACACCCAAGTGTCGCGGGCCATAATTTTTAATAAAAAAAAATCTTGAATATTTAATGGTTGACCGTTGCATTGTAAAGGAAGGAGATGGCCCGGGGTGGTTAAAAACTCCTAGCTAGGGAAACTCCTCCGGGGAAACTCCCAGCTGAACACACCTACATGAAGAAGACCTACAAAGTTGGGTCGAAACGTTGGCTTTTAATAAAATAGTTTTTCCACTATTTAGACTATATATGACCGCCACCCCGGACCATCTCCTTCCTTTAAAAAAAATCTTGATCTATGAATGACACTTAAGTTGTAAACTGAGCTTCCTAACAGAAAAAGTAAGTAATTTTATATTTTTAAAATAGTTTTTAAAATATTAACATTTTATCGAAGGAACTTCAACGGGCCGTAGTTTGAAGACCTCTGCACAAGGAGATGACTATCAATAATATCATGAAAATTCTTTCAATATTTTAATATGATTTTATGTGTTCCGAAGTTTCAGCCCACTTTGTACACCAATACTGTTCGACACTGCCGAATATTAGAGATAATCAGCGGCCGAGATGAAAAAGTCAGCGTTTTAACTTTATAGGATTGTGAGGAAAACGAAATTAAACAATTCACTGAAGTTTGTAAACTCACTTTTTCCAAAACGTTCAAAATCAAAATTTTGACAGGACATTTAAATTTATATAATGGAAATTTACATTTGCACACTAAACTAGAATTTCTTTCACTTTCTCCTTCTTCTTTGGAGAAGATGAGTGCACCCTTGGTTATACCCACAGAATTTTTTTTCATTATTATTGAAATTTACAACTGTATAAATGATAAATACAACAAGTAACATGGCATGTACAACATGAAGGGAAACTACACATTGGTAGCACTTCAATTATATTTCTATATTAGAAGGTCCCGAGGCCATCTTCTTTTCATACGCCTCGGATGGATAAAAGAGGAAACAAGGTTGGAAATAAGCCCATGTATGCTGGTAAAGTTCGAGAGAGGATCTAAGGAAATTTGCTTGGTTATTAGTGAGGACAATACTAGTTACCAAAAGATTTCGAGAGATGGAATTTGAAGGATGAAGAGGTGAAGATAGGTGAACACTATTTTCCAGCATCTAGGTCCTTTAAGTACCTTGGAGGGATTTTCACGCGAAATAAGGAGACAAAAAATGACATAAGGGCACGAATAGCTGCTGGTGATAAGTTTCTTTATGTCATGTGTAAGCCTCTAACGTATAAAAATCTCTTCAGAAGGGCCAAGCTGTTGATTTACACAACTGTAATTAGATCCAAAATATTATACAATAGTGAAATATGGGTGATGGCGTCGGGTAATGAGTATAGGCTTAGAATGTCTGAAAGAAGGGTGCTGGAGAAGACATTCGGGCCTTAGCGAGAGGACGATGGATATATAACAAGGACAAACTTCCAGTTGAAGGGGATATGTTCCGAAGCAAACATAGTGCAACTTAATGAGAATAGAAGACTGGACTGGCTTGTAAAAGTAAAAGGATGCCTTCATCGAGATTATCCATACAAATATTGCATGGTTCCTCCAGAGGTTCCGGAAGGAAAGGTAAACGTCGTAAAAGATCGCTGGATGATGTAGAAGAGGTTATGCAAGAGCTAGATGTCAAACGATGCCACACCAAGGCTATGTATAAAACAGAGCAGTACAGGATAATGGAGGAAGATTTAGTTCTGAATAGTCTGTAACGTCATGCAGTGAGTGTGCTTGTAAAAATTGTCGGTCCTTTTCTACTTTATGCACACCAGTGAAAACAACAGATACTTGATATGTTACGGGATTCATAATTGAGTCCACAAACATCGATTTTATTAGACTGTGAAACGAGTAATTCATTTAAAGATAATTTCAATAGTAGAAATTAATTCATTTGGAGGAAAAGGTATTAAAATGAGATTTTTTTTCAAACAATATTAAAAATTTCATACTTTCAAAAAAGTGAATAAATATCGCGATCATACTTTAAAAAACCACAATTCAAAGGAAAAACTAAACTAGAATTTCTTTCACTTTCTCCTTCTTTCAGAAAGGAGAGCAATAAATTTTCCTGGAAGAAGTAGTTTGCGCCATCTTCTTTGGAGAGGATGAGTGCACCCTTGTTATACCCACAGAATTTTTTTTTTATTATTATTGAAATTTATGATAAATACAACAAGTAACATGGCATGTGCAACATGAAGAGAAACTACACATTGGTAGCACTCCAATTATATTTCTATATTAGAAGGTCCCGAGGCCATCTTCTTTTCACATACGCCTCGGATGAATAAAAGAGGAAACAAGGTTGGAAACAATAGGGTTTGGGTGGTTCAGAAGTTTATTATGTAAGGATAGGTATCTGGATTGAGCTAAATCGTAAACACATGGTACATTAAGGTCGTTATGGATATTTTATTTGTGATAAAGTAGGGAGCATTGAGGATTTTACGAAGTATTTTGGCTTATAGGGATTGGATACGAGAGGAATTTGATGGTTTAGTAGAGCCCAATGCTCGATATAATATATAAATATAAGATATAAGATATGTAATATATGATATAAATATAAGATAGATAAAGGTGAAAAAAATGAAAAAATAATCATGACCTACTATTAAAGAATTATTATTAATAGAAGGTGAGAGAGCAACCGTTAAACAAACATGAAGACGTTTAAAAAGAATCGTTAATTGCATACAATTTAACAATGGAACTACATGCAACAGGAATCATACTCGTTCGTGAAGATTTTAAGTCCAATCATCAAAATCATATATAAAATCGTTTCATGTTCCATTTTTTTAAAAATATCTTCACTTCATTTCCTTACTATGACTGATGTAGTTTAACCTTAGACTTCATGCGTGAGCTCTCCTATAAATAATACCAATTTAAAAAGCGGAAGCATAAAATATAGGAGCGTATTGCCCATCATAGCTAAATAGGGCTTATCAAGGCTGAAATACGACCCAATAGTTCGAACCTATGAGACTGTAAACACACTGAATTCATTTTCAAGCACCCTAAATCGTTTCATTGTTGATTGTGTATTATATGAAGTAACATAAGAAAGATGTTTTATGATGCAAAATAAGACAATGGAAGTTTTTCAGTTTTAAAATTGTAGAAATTCACGTAACAATTTTTAATCCCTACTGACCATACATCTTCATATTTACGATAGCCATACTAAAAAAGCCTGCGAGTACAACTTTTATAGAAGGTCTTGATCTTAACTAATCTATCTTGGTTCCTCGCGCGTATTAATGAAATACAAAAAAAAAAAAAAGTTTCAAATTATTGTATTTTCTTCTTAAGTATGAAGTGAAAATTAACTAAAAAATCCAATTCATAAAATAATTAATAAATAATATTTCGTCTGTAGGATAATTTTATGTTTTGCACTTAACGATCTTTTGATGAGTGGTGGACGAATAATATTTTATTACTTCGCCCGATCCATTTTCTTCTATTTTGTATTTTCTGTCGTTTATTTCAGCTAACGTCTACTCGGCCATTTTTGACATCCCTTTTGGACATAGGAGAGGCTTGTTCTATAGGTCAACCAAACCTATTCAACCTGCTCAGGCCAGATTCAAACAGGTGCCGATAGACTCGAGAGTATTAAAGCAGACAACGCCTCAACACGCACGGCCATCACTGCCTCAAAGGAATATATTTACCGTTTCGAGTTCAGCTGTAGCAGATACTATTTATTCTATTATATCATCTGAGGATCGACCATGGTGTCGGGAAACCCTTCTGGAGCATCCTCAGTCTCTATTAAGTGGGCCACCTTGATTAGATAATAGATTAAGGGTATAAATCTGAAGTTGGCCTCGATAACGTCCCTCTTCAACTCTACTTTCTTAAAAAGCACTGAACCCAAGACTCTTTATGGTTTATACTGCTATAATTTTTTTTTTTTTTTTTTTTTTTTTGTACACATAGATAAATATTAATATTATTATTTTATCACTTGTATACCAATGATTGGAGAGGTGTAGTTTTTATAGAGATTATTTTTATTTTAAACCCTCTTGTGCCTTTAAGACAATGCGGATGTCTGCAGGAGTAAGATGTAAGGCCGGTAAGCTTAACATCTCAGGAATGCAAGTAAAGTTTGATCTTGTTCTTTCCTGTTTTTCTTGAGTGATTTTCCTAGACTTTTCGTACCAATGGTCCACTGCGGCTTTCCACCTGTATACAAAATCTTTGTAGAACGGGTAGTTTTCCGCAATGACTAATTGAGGGAAATCGTTGTCTGTGAGAATGTAGATACAGGTTTCCCTCAGTAGTTTAGCCCTTAGTTCTTCAAAGGCGGTTCAGTCGACTATAATGTGCTCAGCTGTCTCCCGGACACCTCAGCTAGAGCATAGGGAGTCGATTTTATTGACAATTTTTTTTCTAATTGTATTTAATTTTTAGAAATGTTTAAGCTTCTTTAAGATGTTTCCTCCAACTTTCTTATAGTCTCTTATTGTTTTATCTTTTAGTTCCTGAAATGACTTCTGCGTGTCACTATTTTCGTACATAGAAATTCAGGCATTCAGAGCACACGTTTCAGCTTCATTACATTTGTCATTAAACTCTTCGTTGATAGCTATGATATTTCTACTCCATGGTAAGTAATTATGTTCCGCTATCCATCCTTCCATTGTCCATGTTGCCGGAACCGTTGATTGATTCCTTTGGATTGCGCTCTCCAGTTATTCGCGTTTTCCAGTTATTATTCATATCCTAAGGATAACCCGACACTCACCCAGTGACATAGTGGCGGCTCGGAAGGAGGCAATATTTCCAGAAGCGTGTGCCATCTGCTAAGCCAGCTGGCCCATGATTTACAGTCCATCCTCCGGCGCGTGCTTCCTTTTTTAAACCGCTCGCTGCTTAAAAAGATGCCACGCCGGACCAAATGTTTTGCGAAGGCCTAGAACAGAAATAGACTAGGAACGATTTTTTTTGCCTATCTGGAAGGTATCATACCCCCGGAACAAGGAACTGTTTTAAATTTTTTACCAATAGCGTCACGTTTTCAGGCGGCTTCTTCATGACAGTTGGACGGATACACATGCCGGTACCGTTACCGGGGAGAATCAAGTCACAAATTGTATAAACACGCCGTCGAAAAAACTGACGTGCGGCACGCTTAAGAAACATCGGTTATGTTTAAAAAAAGAACACAAGTTAAAAAATTAACTTTCAACCATAGAATTAACATTCTCCTTCGAAAAGCAATCTAGGAAACAGTCTGAGTAAATCTACACGTGGAGAAACCGGTGTACATCAAGGCATTGTCTTGGTCCCAATGTGATTTAATATTTTGGTGTTTTAATACTGCAAAGGATATTAAATATTTCTTAGCTCACGATTCTTCTCTTTTCGTCATCTACCATAAAAATTACTTTATAACTGTAATCATCATTACAATAATTTTTTTAATGGGCTCTTAAAAAGTTCTCATAATAAACAATGGTAATACACACATGGATAATAAAATCATTCCTATGTCACCTGTTGACGATCCTAAAAATAGAGACGATGATTATGCCTTTTTCAGCAGTAATCATGATAAAGACCTGGGCACTTGAAAAATTTTAAATTTTGTTGATAAACGTAAATAATCAGGTGGACAATAACTTTTTCTGAGAAACCAATGTTACGAGTAAATTAAGATGATTTCATGCAGGCTTATCCACAATGTATGGCCTACAATTTTTATTTAATAGAGAAGCATTAATAATGGTGTCTAAGAATCAGTTCAAATTCATATATGCTTGGTTATTTTAGGTGAAATATTTATGATACTATAAAATAAGGTGTTTATTATTTCTTCACCATATTCAGTCATTTTCAAGCCATTTTATTTAATCATGCTTGTTGCACGTAGTCTATAATCAGAAAGCATGATTAAATAAAATGGCTTGAAAATGGCTTACTAGCCGAAACGTAGCCGATGTAGACTGAAATAAATATGGTGAAGAAATAGTAAAACACAGTCTTATTTTCATCAAAACTCCACAAAAAATAAAACACTGAAAATTCATATATGGTAAACTCTTATTTATAAATTCCATCAACTACTAACCTTATGGATTAAATACTCAGAGATTTTTCTCTTCTTCTACTTTAATAACCAAAGTTCTTTAAACTAATAAAAAGTATATCTATAAGTGCTATAAGCTTGATCATTTTTTTATTTATTGTGCTATGTATAAAAAAATAAACTGTATTCCTGAATTAGTTTACAATTCTGCTATGATCGATTACACATCATTTTTGCATGGTAGTAAAGAGACTAATCATTACACATAACAACAATTTCAAGATAATTTAAAAGTTACTGCCTTCCAATTCATTTGTTGTAAATTTTAACTTCAACCATGAAAATGAATTGAAATTGAGATCTTTTTAAATAGAAGGCAATGGGTGGATGTTCTTTCATACATGGCTTATCCTCTTAATTTAAAGATAAAATATACATACATAGTGATGTATACACATATATATATATACATATTTTTTTTTTTTTTATGTTTACAATTCTGTGTCTTTCAAATTTATTTCTTCTTTACTAATCTTAGCACGTCCCTCTGTATGTATATATAATTTTCTCAATTTCCGTCAAAATACATCAATTGCATTAAGTTTTCATTTTTTTTTTTCACCATACAATCATGAGTGTTTATTTAAACCTTTTAACTAACAGATTCAATTTTTTTTTATTGCTACCATAATTGCTTATTAATTTAACGTTTCTTGTCAGTTTATTTTCTACCAACTATAATGTAGTATTTTCATCCTATTTCCCATCTTCTTGCTTTTAAATATCTTTACAGCTATGTATTTACTTGTGTTCATTATTTACGTTTTAATTATTCATCTAATATGCTACCGGCGTATTTCTGGATGTTGCCCAGGCATTTGATAAAGTCAGGCACCAGCGACGGGTTTAGAAATTTCCTCAATTCGACCAGTATCAGCAGGGGTACCTCAAGGATCAATATTGGCACCTTTACTCTACATTGACTATACTCATGACATGCCTACCAACTCTGAAACATTGACTGCTACTTACGCTGACGATACAACAATTTTAACAAAACACCATGACCCCAGACTAGCCTCATTAAATTTACAAAATCATTTACTAAATTTACAAAATTGGTATTCACTCTGGAAAATTAGATTAAATCACAACACATAACATTTACGCTTAGACGAGAAACATGCCCACCAGTTTATATCAGCAACAATCCAATTCCTCAGACGGACAGTATACGCTACCTCGGACTAATATTTGAAAGAAGGATGACCTGGGGCCCACACGTCAAAATGAAAAGAAAGAGTTTGAACAAGCGACTGAAAATACTGTACTCACTGTTTTCTAAATCAAAATTGAAAATTAGACAAAAACTAAATACATACACTTACCTGCTCAAGCCCATTTGGACATACGCCTCACAGATTTACGGTTCAGCAAAAAAGACTCACTTACAAAAACTACAATCCTTTCAATCTAAAATTTTAAGACTAATAATTGCAGCTCTCTGGTACGTCAACAATAAGACTTTACATACCGACCTAAGACAACCAACCATTGACCAGCACATACGTACTCTTTACTCCCGATTTCATCTAAAACTACACGGACATCACAATGGACTTATCAAAGACATGGCCACGGCTGAAATGCTCATCAGGAGGCGACTGAAAAGGAGCTGGATGAGAGATCTCCTTTTCTGATTTTAGGATGTAAGCAGGCCAGGGAAGAGGTGCTGCTGGGCTCCATTCTTCATCATGCCTATCATGTCATTTTCAATTTAAACAGCAAATCTGCTAATTGTCACTACCATGACAGGTGCGGATGAAGATATAAAGACAAAAAAAAAAAAAAATTTATTCATCTATTATTATAGGTCTTATGACCAGATTTCATATTAATTTGTATGAACTGTTATTCTTATTGGGACCATAGGTACTCTATTAGGAATTTATCACAGAATAAAGTTGATTTTTCTATTAAAATTGAATGTTTAATAAAAGATGGTCGATCGGAGTATGGGAATAATAATTTATGTAATTCTATTTTATAAATGGTTGATGGATGGTCTATTTTATAGTTGATTTAAAAAAAAAATTAAATAATTTAGTTTTCAAACTATTAAATATATGTCGAAAGGCACAGAATTTTTCTGCATGTATTATAAATTAGTTAAGAAATTAGTAAACAAATCGATCTCCTGATTTTTTTTCAAATATTTCGATTAACTATAAAACTATTATTGTTTCGAAATATTATAACTAAAAGATTTATTATAAATCTGTTTGCCTTTTTGGGTGGGTTTAAAAAATAGTAAAAGGATTTATGTCTTATAATTAAGTGTGAATAGTTTAACATTTTTTTTAAAATAATGATCTTAAAATAATCGAACAACTCAAATTGTAAAATATCCATTCCCTCATAATAAGTTATGAAAAATGAATACAAAAAAAATCGTTCAATAGTTATCTATTAATAATAATATAGTTTGTATTAAGTGTATTAGTTAAACGCCTTAACTAATTACAGTAGGCAACCCGCATAGCAGCTGTGCAAAAATAATCTATACCAGGAAACGTCAGGCGCTACATAGTTGACGTGGAAGCTAGTGGGTTCTCTGAAACAAAAAACAGACATATTTATTCGTCAACAATTATTTGTTATTAATTTTATAATAATAAAAGAACTATAAAAAAATAAATAAAACTTAGGAAGTAACTGCTTTGGCCCGGTAGGTGGGAAGTCAGCAAATATAAATAAGACATGGGAATATTAGAAAATAAAAAAACAAGACTTTTAAATGTGGTTCAAGTAGCTAATTAACTTGAAAGAAATTTCAATTTATAATTACTATGATTTTCTTTTTGCTATTAAAATATTTAATTGCGCCTGTCAACTTGTTAACAATCAGCAAATGTGCAGGAAATAAATATGGGTCAGAAGTCTATGATTTAAATAATAAATAAATTAAGAAATAGTCTAAACAATTATCGTTGCACATATTCCTCTAATAATCAATTCATCAATACATTATTTTTAAATTTGGTATATAATATTTTTAATTATATTTTATTATATTTTACATTAAATATTTCCTTATTAAGTTTTTTTTTTATTCGATATACTGTTCCGTTTGTTATAGATTTAATAAATATGGTGAATAGGTAGATCTTGTAATCTACATTTAAATAAAAATAATTCTTTAAAATGTTTAATGTTCCTCTAGTAAACGAATTAACTTGCTTATCACGAAACTCAAACTGAAATGGGATGCTTATCGAACAGGTTTCCAAAGATTAAATATGAATGGATCGCTCTTTATTTTGACAGTTTACTTTGAGATATGTGTCAATTGCATTAGCACTAATTGGACTTCTATTTTCAACGGATGATCGATGATGAAATAACAAATAAATAAAACAGCTTAACAACAGTCGCTGTCCTTCAAAAATCAAAGTCGAATGTATTTAAAGGAGGTGACACTGACACTTCCTCTACATGAAGTTTCACTTCGCGCATATATATATATATATATATATAATCCACTGCGCTGCTTTAATCCAGATCTCGGATCCGAGTGGTTCTATGACAGGTAGTTATTTCTTCCATTTAAACAACCATGGATAGGGAGATCCTCTTGGGACAAATCCAGCCTCTATAAAGTGGTTGTGTGCTTTTATTTGGATATGTGATTAAGAGGAAAAATAAGTGTCAGAAAATCCTTGAGTATTAAAATTTAGTATGTAAATTATATATAATAATGGTTGCAACAAAAATTGTACGTACAATGAGTAATAATACTACTGAATTATAATGGAAATGAAATGTTTTTACGAAATAAATAAAGTAATATAGTTTTTCTAAATTTGAATCCTATCTATTTTGAGAGGTTCGTTGTTTTGGTTTTTTCCTCATTAACTGATTCAACACAACACAAATCGAGCTTTCCCTACTTCCTGTAGCAACGTCATGTACGTATGAATAAACTCCATCGGCAATGAGTACCTAATAATATTACGTACGGACTATG